TACTTTTGGCTACTTATTAGATGTACATTGATCATCCAGTCTGTGTGAAGTATCTTCGGTCCACTTGACATCGACAAGACCGATTTAGATACAAGTTACATTTTACCGTCTTCATTTGTGTGTTTAGGTCACTGGTCTTTAGCCAAGAGGGTACAGCACCGCCCCTAGCACATGGAACATATCTGTGGGGCTGCACTATAACACCGACAGAAGTCCCGACAAGTACAGGCAGCCACTGCCCTCTACTGAATCCAAAACAATTACATGCAAAACAATGAAATAGTATGATTTTAGTACAGAAAGCCAGCGCAAAACCGAAATGAAAACTTGATCGCATTTTTGAGTACTTATGCGATACATGGGCCGGCCCATGGGCGAGCGAGTTTCAATCTAAAGTTTTCGCAAAAATTATTTTGCATTTTTTCATCCTTGGCATATATTCATAACAACTGCATGTTTAATTTGGTCAAATCCCTTGTCAGAAAGTGCCCACAGTGCGGAGAGTTTCTGGACTTTTGTGAGTCCAGAATTAAATTGTGACGTGTTAATTATTACATAAAACAAGTTACTGTCGGCATGGACATAAGCTAAATATGAATAAATCAAATAATTAGTGCCATTTTACTGTATCGGACTTGGAAAATAGCTGCAGATATGACTGAAAATAGCTTGTTCCATATAAACACTTCATTTGACTTCATGCATAGAATCAGACAATGTGATCCCACTGCCAATAAACTTGGCCATTAGAACAGAACTAATCTGCAAATTCTTCCCTAATCTGCCTTGCATTATCGGCACTCCTGTTGCTACCCTGTTGAAGTAGTGGTTGGGACCTGCTTCCATTATCCAATGGAAAAACTTCTATTTCGTTGTATTTTTTGTCTTTTGTTGTACACAGAAAGTTGTGTATAGCAATACATGCAAGAACAACCTTTGTACATGTCTCAGGTGTTAATGATAAGCTCCTTTGAAATACTCCAAAGCGGTTCGTCAGTATACCAAAAGCATTTTCTGATACACGTCTGGCTCTGGAAAGTCTGTAATTGAATACTTTCCTTTACACAACTAAGTCCCGGTGGGGATATGTCTTCGTGGTGTTATCTTTTAGTGGAAAGGCATCATCCCCAACAATCACATAGGGAGTATCAAGACATCTTCCAGGCAATGGCTTTGGACCTGGAATTTTCAAGGAGTTACTGTTCAGTGCCTGATACAGTGATGAATTGGCAAATATACCTGTATCACTTGACCTACCATTTGCACCAACATCTACATACACAAATCTATAGTTAGAACAACAAGAGCTAGGAGTACAATGCTAAAAAAGTTGTAGTAGAGTGATCCTGATTTGGCAGGTGATTTTATAGAGATATGCTTTCCATCCAAAGCCCCGATACAGCGTGGAAACTGCAACTTCTCCTAAAATCCCCCTGCGACTTGCAGCCATTCTTCTTCTGACTGTGGCACCTGAAATCAAGTTGAGATATTTTAAATATATATTTTTTCGAAATAATACCATATACTTACACTACCAATTTTATCTGACAGGAAACCAACATACTGTCAACTGAGCAGGATGGACCCAGTCAAGTGGAACATGTGGAACCAGACAATGCGCAGGCTGATACCATGGATTGTACTCCACCACCCCCATCTAAAAGAAAACGGCAGGACAGTGTTCCCCTCCACGTTTTGGCTACTCTTAAGTCAATTGAAAACAGAAAATCACAAAGTGAAAATAATGAGAACTATGTTTTGCCAAATATTTGGCATCAGATATGGCCCGAGTTTCCAAACTAAGTAAAAGGAATGAATTAAAAATTAAAATACAACAACTTACTTTTGAGTATCAAAATGAAGAATAAGATTTTATATGTATTCTGCACATGCCATCTGTCCTTAATGTTATCTTTTAAAACCAAACATAACTTGATAAGATAACTCTTTGAGATAATTATATGAAGCTTGACTTGAAATCCTAATATATGCACAGAAGAATATGTATTTCAGGTCAGCTGCAAAGCTTATTCCCAAGAAATTTGTCAGCCAGTTTAGATAATAAATAATAATTCATATTATTAAGTACTTCAGTGCGAGTGGTGTTCAAATTTCATTGGGAGTGTTAGGTTTGTTACAGTAATTTATGTAGATTTTTGCACCAAGTGAAGCAAACCCATTCATTACAAAGCCCTACCGGTGAAAAGCTTAAGTTATATGATATTATGTTTTACACAAGAGTGCTTTGAGATGATGAGTATAAATATTATTGTTTCGATAAATCACATGGGATTTATTGGTTTTCCTCATAATGCTTGGACATCTGAAGAAAAAAACTCATGGCGTCATAATAACAATGTTTACACATAATTACAAAAGTTAAACCTATAAGTAAATAGGCATTGTGTTTCATTACAGCTTATTGATTAATTTAGTCATCTTTTAAACATGGGAAAAAATATCAAGGCCTTCTTGAGAGTTTCATAAATTGCCACACACACTTGAGGGACGAAATTGCAAATTGTGTTCTTTGGTACCCGATACAAGAATTCTATAGATTTGTAACTGTCACCTAAATAAAAAAAACACAGATGATTCATTCTGTACATGTGTAGTCTAATTACCTAGCTGTATCTTATAAAATTCAAACATTTACAATTTATCCATTTATTACTGTTATTAATGTTAAATTAATATATAACAAATAAAAGTTGATTTTATGGGCGCTTTGTTCCATTTACTAAAACGAATAATAGGGATTTATAGTATGTATAATTGTCTTGGCAATAAATGGAACAAGTTGTTATTAAATTCAGGTTTGAAATAGTTTACAAATTCTGTTAAAGCAAACTTACTTCACTACTAATATTGTCAAATATTTAAAACATTTTGAATAATCAAAAAGTTATTGAGCGTATGTGGTACACCTTCGGGAGCCTCACTCAACTCTAAAGTGACAAAACTTTTTGTGTCCTCAGCTTCAAGTTCCCTTATTAAAGCTTTATAAGCTCCTAGATCACTTCGTCTTGCAATCCAGGGACGGACCAAGCACGAACGATCGGCTTTGCCATGGTTAAAATCAACGAACATTGCGACAACCGCCGCTTCCAGTACAACGTCTCACTATCGCTGTTGACCGTATGCTACAGTGCGTTGCTAAGCAACATGTAAAACGAGATCTCACGATACCGAAAATTGTATACAACTTGGCCTCTGTGTGAACGCATGTTGCATGCAACTCAAGACGTGCAACTTTTTGTATGCAACATGTTGTAACAAACGAGTTGAACGGATCTTAACTGACCATGTATGTTTTTTTCTGTAGCACCTCCAAGGTATAACATTTAAACCTTGATACTTGTGTTGTATCTATTACCGAAACTGATATGCCATTATCGTAGAAATTCCTGAAAATCAACTGTTTCTGAAACCCAACATTCGGTCAGTGTCTGAGATGTTAGTCATAAGTAGAACTAGACGCTACAGCCATGACCCAACTAGTACTTGAAGATGTGTGTCGCAATAAGACTGCATTCTCCAGGCCTAAAGATATCAATGACTTATATGTGTGGGTCATAAAACAGGCAATATATCTGATGAAGTTTTTCAAATCATGTGAAGCACAAGGAAGAAGCCAGAATTGAAAAGAAATTTGACAAACAGACAGCAAGCAAAGGTGAAGTTCTCACTATTGATCTACAAGACGTGTTGGCGGTAAAATCACTAAATGGCAATGCATTGTAGCATAATACCAAGCTGGCCTCTCTCAACTTTAACACCTTTGCTCTTGTTTCACATCAAGTCATGTGCATCTTCTGGCATGAAGGTTACAAGGAGCTGATTGCTCCTGTGTTTTCCTCCTGCATCACATACTACATCAAACGAATAGCTTTTCCAGTTGGCACAGTCATACAATTGATTGACGGCTATGCATATCAAAATAGAAATGCAACTCATCCAATGCATTATTGAACCAAGCATCTGAGAAGCAGGTGGCTATCGCCCAGAAGTAGATTCAAAAGATCACACTCATATGGAGAGCGACTCAATTCATAATGACACCGAGAGGGCTATGCGGCACAGATCTACCTGTACCCCAGCTGGTTACGTGGCTGTTATTAAAAATGCTGGTGACAGCAAACTCTGTGAAGTCAAATGTCTTATGTATGACTTCGTCAAGACCCCTATCTTTATTTCACTTACACTTCTATCAGACCCGGTAACAAAGGTGGAGATCCACAATTCACTGTCATCAAACACTCAGCCCAAGGCTTGATTTTGCTCATGCCAAGCATGAGAAACCAATCACGAAGGTGTTGTACAACCACTGAACCACAAGGATGCAAAGTACAATCATCTTCAGGAACTCAAATTTGTTTTGTTATCCGATAAGCATCTGTTCTATAATGCTGCTCTGCCGACTCTTGAAAAATAACATTCTTTCACAAATCACAAAACTGTAAGAGCGAGACACAGACAGTTTGGTTGAAGTAGTATCAGACTGGATGCTCTTAAGCTGATATTGCAATATGTTCATTATTCGTTTAAAGCATTGCATTGAAGATTCAATAATAAATTGTTTCAATGTAATGTAGTTTCTCACCCTTTCACGCACGCGCACACTCACACACACACACACGATTGTCACATTTGTAACTGTAGATACGACCACACGGTATATAATTTAATGAATTAAGCAAAGTAAACTGATCACATGCATCAGCACCATTGATTTGAAGTTTATAAAGTGCACTTTCCCTGGCACATCTGTGAAATACGATCATCTCTATCAATGATACAAAGCTTTCGTTGGGAATCTGAGGACTCAAGCTAGTTGTAGTAATGTCAGGGGATATTGTCATGTCATTTCATTAGTTTACTAGTAGCATGTCACTGAATAATTATATAATGGGCATAAGTGAACTAAACCTTTCACAGATGAGTGAGTACAATGCTAAGGTGGGACTTTTGTCTTCTATCCCCTTGGGGAAGACCGTTCGTGCAGTACGTCTACAGACACTCGAACCACATTTGCAGATCGACACAGTGTTGAGAAGGCAGCACTGTCATTTTACAGTTGTCGTTACAGGTTCAGTGCAGCAGTAGATGCCATGAGATACACAATGGTGTTGCGATGGAACCTCTTTTCGATGGTGCTTGCCTTTGAGGTTCACGGTACGTATCTAGAGAAAAACCTTTCAAGAGTTTGCACAATATTGTTTCATGCATGTTTCCAATTTCAAGATGCTGAAGTTAGTAGTTTTACGTGATATATTACGCTGTTTATACTTGGAAACTATCCTAACTTAATGCACTGAAGTAGCATAGTATCATATAATTAACACACAGATAATAAGGTTTCTTAATGAACAATTGAAATTGTTCTTTGAAGATTGTTTCTTGAGTTCAATCGAAATAAGAGATCAAAATAACCTCTTTGTCGAATGTTGATATGGTTATTTTGATATTATGTTCGGCCAAACCGCTTATTAAACCTTGTATATTTGGTTTGTTGTTTCACGCCGCACACAGCTATATTTCAGCTATATGGCGGCGGTCTGTAAAGAACCGAGTCTGGACCAGACAATCCTGTGAACAACGGGATACGATGACATGTGTCAACCAAGTCAGCGAGCCTGACAACCGGATCCCATTAGTCTCCTCATACGACAAGCATGGGTTGCTTAAGGCCAATTCTACGGGTCTTTACGGGTCTACATTTACTAAAGGGTCCACACGCATAGAACGTGCGATCATTTGAATACATATTCTTCATTGTTCAGTCTCAAATGAAGACCAGTTCTAACCCTGGTCTTCTTGGGTTATTAAACCTTGTATATGATAGTGATGCTACAAACTCTGGTACAGATGACACAGTTGTCAGTGACGCCATCAAATCTCTGTGTGCAGGGATCCGTCCCTTTTTAACGCCGTCCTCAGTACGGATCCCAGTTCGACCCTGTTTGGCCTAGGACTGATACACCCTTACAAGGAAGGAACTTCTCAAGTCGGCAGAATATCATATACTAAATCACTTTATTGGGGTTGAAGTATCGTAAAAAGATTGTCCCCTTATGATTGCATAATAGTATTATAGTACATTGCAGACAACCGGAATTGTATTGCTTCAGTTGTATTGTTTTAATGTCTGGCTAGCATTGTTTATAACTACCACTCACTGAAGTGATGGTTTAAATCCTGCTGGGGATTCATGCAGGTAGCTGAAGTACTGTAAGTCCCCATGAACCCCAATAAGGTGGCCTAGCTTTGGTTGTTGGTGGTCCATAGCCCGTGTTTTAATTTTAATATATGTCATATCGAGTTGCATTTTTAGAATTGGAAATGATTAGTTTTTATAATTGCATTCCGTGATACGTTGCTAAAGTTTTACTGTCCTTCGTGACAGATATTTATCATATATACTAACTTTGTTCTCGTCACTATATGGCTGACATATTGCCGGTGTGACGTTAACTTTTCACTCACTCACTCACTCCCTCATATACTAAATGACATAACTATTACATAGTTCTCTGCCACTCCACACATTCGTAAACCATGGTTTAGTAATGAATGCAAACAGGTAAGAGGGTGCAGGAAGAAAGAGGAAAAATATTACATACTACAGTCCGTTATTTGGATAATTTAATCAAAATATGCGTCAGTCTTGGAGGAACTTGGTTTCCAACATTAATTCGCGTACACCCATGTCAAAGGTGTGGAACATCCTACAAAGGATTAAAGACAAAGGTTCAATATCTGCTGTTCACCATCTGGAGGATAATTTATTAACTGATAAAGCCGATAAGGAACAAACTTTAGGGATGAACAACTTCTTTATTTGGAGGATGCGACGTTTCGATACAGATTCTTGTATCGTTCAGGAAGATGCGACGTTTCGATACAGATCCTTGTTTCGTTCACACAACGATACAAGAATCTGTATCGAAACGTCGCATCTTCCGAATAAAGAAGTTGTTCATCCCTAAAGTTTGTTCCTTATCTGATTCACCGACTTCTAAACATGCCACTCAAAGAAGTTAACTGATAAAGCCGACATTACCAATACATTTGGTGAAACTGTCGCCACTCATCTGAGTGAGTGAAGCTTTACGCTCCTTTTAGCAATACTCCAGCAATATCAGGGCGGGGGACACCAGAAATGGGTTCTGTAGATAGATGTATTTTAATGATATGTATTTTAGATTGTCAGTGGCTGTACAGTAAAAGGGGGTTAAAGCATTGTAAAAATATTTTCCTCCTGAGAGGATACGTAAGTCCCAAAACATTCAAAGTAAATTTAAACCTACTACCATTTTAATCGTAGAATATATGTTCGTTTAATTTGTGGCTAGATTCTCTAAAATTGCTAATAAATGTACTGTAAGTCCCCATGGTCCCTAGTATGGTGATCTACCTTCAGTTGTTGGCAATATTTAGCCTGTTTTTACCTTGTGGTGTCATCTATAGATTAAACTGTTTAAGATCTAATTACTAGTTTTAAATTCGAGTCTGTGATAATCTAGTTAATTTATTGCCCTTCGTTGACAGATTTTTACAATTTACCATTAATTACTATGTATAAAATTAATTGTTCTCGTCTCGATATGGCTGAAATATTGCCGATGTGACGATAAATTTTAACTCACTCACTCACCAAAATGGTCTTCACACATTGTACCCATGTGGGGAATCGAACCCGGGTCTTCGGCGTGACGAGAGAAAGCTTTAACCACTAGGCTACCCCAACGTCCCGCCAAGCATCTGAAGAACAGTGACAATCTATCAATTGAGATATCTGACATTGCCAATAAACATGGCGAATCTCTTACCAAATGCTCTTCATCTTCAAATTATATAATTCCTCACTTTTAAAATTATCAGAAACATCATGACAAGAAATGAATCAATTTTAACTCAGACAATGCGAAGATCATAATGAATTATTTTCATTACATGAGCTGCACCTTGCCACTGAGCAAGGTCTTGATAACTCAAATGGGGCTGATAATATTTACTATCAGCTCTTGAAGCATTTGCCTTACACGTGTCTTGAAATCATTTTTTAAGTATTTGATAATTGTGGATTTGACGGATTTGTTCACCTCCGTGGCATAATACCATCGTAGTTGCTATACCGAAGCCTGGCCGGGATCATGCGGATCGATCAAATTCAGACCCATATCTTTAATTATTTGTGTCTGTAAAACCATGGAACGAATGGTAAATAATATGAAATCCAGATACCAATAACTTAATTACAGGTCCCTAACAAGCGCCGGGTACGTCTTTTATGAATGTATTCTCCCTTTACCCCAAAATATATTTATTAAGGAATGGTCCCTTAAGCCATAAGTTTCTATTCTCCACATCTCCCAGTATGCGCAATAAGCGCCGGGTGTCCAATAAGCGCCGGGCCTCTAATAGGCCCTCGGTCTGGAAGTTCGGTGAAACAAGAGGAAATACGGTGGTCTCAATTTTCTTTGATCTTAAGAAAACAAAGGATACTAATTGGAAGCACGGCCTTTCAAAGGGTTTACATGATTTGAGTTTGCGAGGTAGTTTACCTCTCTATATATAACAGTTTTTAACAGACAGGCAATTTCAAGTCCGAATGGGGTCAACCCTGTCTGATCATTATACTCAGGATCAGGGTGTTCCGCAAGGCAGTATTTTGCCTCTTACTTTATTTAGTATTAAAGTCGTTCAAAAGTTTGAACTAATTAAGTAGATGGATCACTTTTCTGGAGAATTTAAAACTTGTTTTAGTCACGATATGGTTGAAATATTGCCGATGTGACTGTAAATCTTAACTCACGTACTAACTTTTATGGATATTATACTTTCTTGTGATAAAAATATGCATACAATAAAGAGCCAGTTTTTGCAAATCTGTGTCAACCAAATTTACAAATGGTCAATGGAAAATGGATTTAAATTTTTAAAATCCAAAACAAATTTCTGTAGTAAATATAAGGACCCTGAACTATTTCGAAATATCACACCCATGAAGGCTGCAAAGGAGGCCAAGTTCTCAGGACTTCTTTGTGACTCTCAGCACACATTAAATACGTTAAAGCTAAATGAGTGAAGGCACCTGATATGTTGATAGCCATTCCCAATCCAAAGTTGGGAGAGGATCCGGTTACTCTCCTACACTTATATAGATCACTGGTTGGCTGAAAACGGCTCCATCGTATGTGGTAGAGCCTGCAGAAGCAATGATGCGGCTGACATAGTCCCAATATAACCTAAAAGTCCAGATTACGTTTTCTTGGTTTTGTCAGTACCGTAGGCATTCTTCTGTGGTTCACTGAAGATTTTGGTCTTCTGCAACCCATGCTTGTCGTAAGACGACTAACGGGATCAGAACTGGTGGTCAGGCTCGCTGACTTGGTTGACATACATACATACATACAAACATTTGTAAAGCGCTAGTATCCAGCGTAAGCTGCTCAAAAGCGCTAGCGTCTGAGATAATTGAAAAGGGTCACTGAAATGTCATATTGAGGAAGAAAGTTTTGAGCTTAGATTTTGGTTGACACACATCATCGTATCCAAACTGCGTAGATCAATGCTCATGATGTTGATCACTTGATTGTCTGTTCCAGACTCGATTATTTACAGACCGCTGTCGTAAAGCTGGAATATTGCTGAGTGCGGCGTTAAATAACAACCAAACCAAACTAAAGTGGCAAGGTGTGACACTTGCATCATTTCAAATAGTAATGGCGTCGAGCCGGTGGGGAAGCCCAGTTGTTAAAGCGTTCGCTCGTTACTTCGAAGACCCTCGTAAGATTCCCCATATGGGTACAATGTGTGAAGTCCATTTCTTTTGTAAACCGCCGTGGTATTGCTGAAATATTGCTAAAAGGGGCGTAAAACCATACTCACTCACTCGAAGTGGCGTCACTCACTCACTCACTCCTCTATCACTAATAGGTTGGCCTCTGGAGCTGACGCTTGCAGCAAATTCGTCACTGCTCACTAATTTGACCAGTTATGGAGTTGACATCAGTCGCTGCCGCAGCATCAAGTTCCAAGTGAAGGCATGCGAAGACCACGGATTTACTATAACTAATTCATCGGGAAGTGGGCTTATGGATGTAACAATCGGCGGATGGTCTAACACGCGCTCCTACCTGGAAGGAATTGGAGCTAGCGCCTTTCCCTCAACAGACGGCATTCTGTCCTGTGACGAATACAGGTAAGAAAACCTCGACCTTTATTGATTTGGTTGGTTGGTTTGTTGTTTAACGCAGCACTCAACAATATTCCAGATATAAAGCCGCGGTCTGTAAATAATTGAATCTGGACCAGACAATCCAGTGATCAACAGCATGGGCATCGATCTACGCAATTGGGATACGATGACATGTGTCAACCCGGTCTGCGAGCCTGGCCATCCAATCCCGTTAGTCGCCTCTTACGACAAGCATATTTTGATTAAGACCAAATATATCCCTGGTCTTTACGGGTCTACATTTGCTAAAGGGTCCACACGCATAGAACGTACGATCATTTGAATACATATTCTTCATTGTTCAGTGGGGCGGTTTGGGTAGGCTAGTGGTTAAGGCATTTGCTCGACACGCCGCAGACCCGGGTTCGATTCCCCACAGGAGTACAATGTGTGAAGCCCATTTCTGGTGTCCCCCGCCGTGATATTCCTGGAATAGTGCTAAAAGCGGCGTAAAACTAAAACTCACTCTCTCATAGTTCAATACTTTATGATTTGTGATTTATGTTGACATTAAAAGCTCCGGCCTTGGCCAGAAGATCACACAAGCGCGTTTACTTATTTAGGTACTGGCGAAGAACAAGATGACATTGTTTTAGTTATGTTGCCTGCGTGTAAAGGTAAAAATCGTGATGTACAAAATCAATTTCATTACGTCAAAAAACACTGATCAACATCCTCGAACACGTACATTTTATTAACTCTTTTGTATTTATTTGTATCTTTCTGCGTTGTCCGTGGCGTAGTGGTTAGAGCGTCCGACGGGAGAGCGGAATGTCGCGGGTTCGATACCCGACCGCGTCATACCAAAAGACGTTAAACTATGGTACTTGTTGGTCCCTGCCTGGCGCTCGCATTAATGGGAACAACAAGGACTGGTCGGCTCGGAGTCAGTATACTGTGTCTGAGAGGTGTATTCATGCTTCACTGCGGCATGGTTTCTCAGTGGGCTAGCACTATAAAAGCAGCCGCACATACACATACACAAGCATGCACGTCGTCATATGAGTGAAATATTCTCAAGCACGACGTTAAACCCAATTTCACCTCACCTCACCTCACCTCCTAAGTATAGCAAAATCGTGGAGTGATATTCTCATTTTACAGAAAGTTCTTCTCAGGTCTCTATCCTTTAGCGATGTTAAATACATTCCCGGTTGTAGAAGGGATAACTTCACTTGTTTATAGTTCTCAAGAAAAGATGACTTTTTGATTGAATAATGCCAGTCTTGTAAGTATATATCAATTAGGCGCTGCTTGAAAATGTAAAGAAACTGTTTCGGATCACCAACATCTTGAGCCAGCCGAACATAGGAATATCCAGTGACAAACAATAAACTTCGTACATTAGACGCTCAGGTATGTCTTCCATCCTCGTCCAATTGTTTCAACAATAAATAACATTTGTGTGGATATCTCCGTGTGTCTTGTCTTAGAAGACGAAGCCAATATTTAATTACTTTACACTGGCCACAAACATGCATGGTGTAACGCCCAGTTTCTCCAAGAATCGCGTTATTTGCCGCAAATTTCCTAACTCCTAAACATCTCTTGAAGTATATAGATGTATATATATAGATGTGTGTGCACATGGATATATCAATAAACTTGGCATACATGTACATCTAAAAAACTCAGCAGTAAGGCTTGCACGATATACGTCCTTTTCGTTGGAGGGGCGGTGAGATGGTTAAACTAGGCTAAGGCGTTTGCTCGTCACGCGGGGTTCGATTCGATGGGTACAATGTGTGAAGCCTATTTCTGGTGTCTCCCGCCGTGATATTGCTGAAATATTGCTAAAAGCGGCGTAAAACTAAACTCACTCACCTTTTCTTTGGACAAGAGGCATGAACTACACATTTTGACTTGCAAACTTTTTTCCACGTGATTCTTTAACCCATTTATGCATATCGTCCCTTTTGGGGGACGGGTACTTCAAAAAGATTTCTCTCCTATTGTTGAAGATAGAAACTTGCAGTATAGACGTGAATGAAGCTGAGTAAATTGTTTTCCGTTTGAACCATTTATTATTTCTAGAGTTTAAGTTCTTTAAGCATGGCCACTTCCAGTGGAAAGGCAGGTCCTCTAGACTTTCAGCGAAGTATGAAGTAAGATGATTTTTTATTGGTTCCTATTTTAACTATGTAAGTTCATTAGAATGTGTTTAAAACTTTCGTTGTTTAAATAGAAAAATAAAATGGAAATGGTTTGCATTTTTTCGACACTCAATTTACCGCTAAAGTACCGTCCCAAAAATAGGACAATATGCAGATAAGTGAACTTAAATTAGGTAATATATTAGGCTTAGGTGGAGGAGATCAACTTCTTAAATCTTAAAATTGACTATGATGTTTAGTTCATCAGAAAACATTTTATGGGATCAAGAATGCCCATGAAATGTTCCGGTTTCAATTTGTTAATACACATAGTTTCATATAAAAGCCAGTTTGGTTTTATTCCATGAAAGCTTTCAAATGAAAAGAGTCAAAAGACTAGTGGTTAAAGCGTTCGTTCGTCAAGCCGAAGATCCGGGTTCGATTCCCCACATCGGTACAATGCATGAAGCCCGCCGTGATTATTGCTGGAATATTGCTTAAAGCGGCTTAAAACTAAACTCACTCACTCACTCCACAAATGATGCCTTGCGTGTTGTCGGATTTTGAAATCCTAACTCGCTGATAAATCTTTTTGAAACAATTAGAATCTGTAGTTATGTGGCGTCCATAGTATTGTGGACCCATTACGATCCGGGCTAGAACTGGTGTTCAGCAACCCATGCTTGTCGTTAGAGGCGACTAACGGGATCGGGTGGTCAGGCTCGCAGACTTATATATCACGCGCGTCATCGCATCCCAATTGCGTAGATCAATACATATGATGATCACTGGTTTGTCTTGTCCAGACACGATTATTTATAGCTGGAATTTTGTTGATTGCATCGTTAAATAACAAACAAATTAAACAAATATTAGAAATATAATATTATCATATTATTGTGATGGACTGCGCGAGAGTTTGGTATAAGCTTCTCTGGAACGATTTTCAGTTATCTCACCGACCGTAATTTCAACGTGTATAGCCCACCCAAACACAGTGAACTCCAAGCACTCCAGTTTTCTCCCTTTAATTGCGAGTGTCAGCCTGGGTAACAACAAGTACCACCTTATGCCCATAAATTCTAATTTTACGTACCTGGAACTGAACCACCGAATTCTCCCGAAGCCTGGAAAATGCCTATTACAGAAGGTTAACATTTTGAAAGATTCTTATCCACCTGACATGTAATACGGAGGGATATAGTCGACGCCTCGTCTGTCTGTCCGTCCGTAATCATTTTGTTTCCGAAGCAGAACTGAAAAACCGTTCAATATCTTTCATCATAAAATTGGTAGATATATCAAACAGAACCTAACGTGGTGCCTTTTGCTGTTTACAGATTTTTGTCATTTTTATTTTTCTTGATTTCCAAACGATTTGGACTTTAAGTAACTCTCAGATGTTTAAATTTGTTCTTTCAAATTTGTGGGGGCCGAGGAGATTTGTCATCTTTTGATGACTCATGTTGTAAATTGTTTTTTCGAAAGCATATCCTCTGACTGCATCCCCCATATTGTTGCAGATCGTTTTGGATTGACTGGAATGATCAAAACTTTGCCTTAGGGAAGGGCGAAGTTGTGGGAGAAGAAAAAGTGGCGGAAGTGCAATTCCCCCAATCCGAGGAAGCAGCACACATGTTTCTCAAACGAGTTAATGGCACTCTACCATCAAATCGCATAGGTAGCTAAAAATGGGGGGAAATGGGGATAGTCAAGTTGTCAAAACTTTCGTTCGTCACGCTGATGACCCAAGTTCGATTCCCCACAAGGGTACAATGTGTGAAGCCCATTCTTTGAGTTCACCGACGTGATATTGCTGAAAGCAGCCTAAAAAAGTAACCTCACTCACTATAAAGGCTTTGCATTCAGTGTTTCTACACTGATGTGGCATCTTTTGACGAAATATCTTTAATACTGAATTACACCATGGACTATTCTGTGTAACTTCAACTTTGAAGATAGATTCCGCCTATACAACTGTTATAAAGTATATTTCTATATCAGTCCCGATTAATGTAGGTTTCGCTTATCCACCTGTTGTAAACAATACTTCCATATAACACCAATTAAGTCTTGCTTAAACTTTGATGATAGATTCCGCCTATACAACTGTTATAAAGTATATTTCTATATCAGTCCCGATTAATGTAGGTTTCGCTTATCCACCTGTTGTAAACAATACTTCCATATAACACCAATTAAGTCTTCCTTAAACTTTGAATATAGATTCAGCTTATACAACTGTTATAAAGTATATTTCCATATCAGTCCCGATTAATGTAGGTTTCGCTTATCCACCTGTTGTAAACAATACTTCCATATAACCCCAATCAAGTCATGCTTAAACTTTGAATATAGATTCCGCTTATACAACTGTTATAAAGTATATTTCTATATCAGTCCCGATTAATGTAGGTTTCGCTTATCCAACTGTTGTAAACAATACTTCCATATAACACCAATCAAGTCATGCTTAAACTTTGATGATAGATTCCGCCTATACAACTGTTGTTTCTATATCAAGATTAATGTAGGTTTATCCAACTTTCTATATCAGTCCCGATTAATGTAAGGTTCCGCTTATACAACTGTTATAAAGTATATTTCTATATCAGTCCTGTTGTATCCAACAATACTTCCATATAACACAAATCAAGTCTTGCTTAAACTTTGATGATAGATTCCGCTTATACAACTGTTACATGTATAAACTAAATTTCACTACAAAGTCCCGTACAAAACTATTCCCGAGTGGCATTTGATTTTGAATGTAGGTTTCGCTTGCCCCCCTAACCATTGGACTTCATTATTTATGTGCACACACCCTTCTTCAAAATCCTGGTAACGCCCCTGCATATAGCACTAACCTTGTGTAGTTTAAGTTTTGAATGTATGTTAAGCCTAACATGTTCCACTTGTCATATAAAACACATTCACATTTGTAGGGGAGATGTTCAGAAGTCAATTTGAGCTGGTCACAGGAAGAGGCAGGTTCAGCGACGGGCTTATCGAGGAGAAAGCGACCACTTTTGTCGACTGTATTGATCTGTGCACAGACCACCGCCACTGTGGCATGTTCAGTTACAACTCAGAACTAACCCTCTGTGTCGTGTTTGACAGGATGGCGTCATCATTCAGCATGACGTCCGAAAATGGTTGGAAGTCGTGGAAAATGCGGTATTGCAATATGTAACCATTAGGGCTGACTATCGAAATAGAGATCGATAATCGTCAACCTAATATTGATTGATTATCGATAAATATCGAAGATATAACTTTGAGCAAAACTATCAAAAATGTCTGAAAGAAACGAATTAATATGTTTCACATCACTGGTGAATGGTGACATGTCTGTGCATGGATTATTAGCAAAAACAGCCACCTGAAAATAATTTAGAAGCAGACCATCAATAAAGTCCTAAAATTGTACATTGTGAGAAACGTTTTACAAACCATTCTATCACAAAAGTTACTGTACGATACCGATAACAATTTCCATATCGTTAATTATTTTTTCCTACCGATGATATTCTGATTATCAACCATTTTATTCAGCCCTAGTAATGATACTATTAGACTAATTATTATCTGCACATGAAAGTAAACTACGAACAACATCCACTTAAATGTTTGTTATAACGTTTTACTGAAGTGTGTTTTCTTTCGATCAAAGCTGAAATTTCGATTGATAACTACATCAATGTTTGGATATTTGGTAGCAGGTGAAATCGCAAACACTTATAAACACTCAATCAAAGAACACCAAACCTCTGTGAAGAACAGAGACTATAATGTTTAGAACACCATGGGCCCCTGTATGGTGATCTACCTTCAGGTGTTGGCGGCCTATAGCCTGTTTTTCTTTTATATTATGTATTGTATGAATAGTTATATTAGTTATAACTTTACATGCTAGTTTTAATTCCAACTATGATGATCTAATTGTTTTGACTGCCTCCGTGGCGTAGTGGTTAGAGCGTCCGCCCGGAGATCCCCGACCGCGTCGTACCAAAAGACGTTTAAATATGGTACTTGTTGGTCCCTGCCTGGCGTTCGGCATTAATGGGTACAACAAGGACTGGTCGGCTCGGAGTCAGTATAATGTGTCTGAGTGGGGTATTCATGCTTCACTGCGGCGTGGTATCTCAGTGGGCTAGCACTATAAAACCAGCTTAAGTCTTGGCTAGTACAAGCAGCCGCACCTACACATACACACGCATGCACGTCGTCATATAAGGGAAATATTCTCCAGCACGACGTTCAACCCAATTTCACCTCACCTCACCTGTTTTTCTTTTATATTATGTATTGTATGAATAGTTATAACTTTACATGCTAGTTTTAATTCTAACTGTAATGGTCTAATTGTTTTATTGTCCTTTGATGACAGGTTTTATAGGATACACGTATTTCTTATTAATGTCAAATGTGTACTCGACACGATATGGTCGAAATATTGTCGATGGGACGTTAAGCATTAACCCGCTCACCCACCCCATGCAGGTAGCATGGTCCCTAGTATGGTGATCTACCTTCAGTTGTTGGCGATCTATAGCCCGATTTTATATTGTGTTGTTTTGAAATGATTTAACATTGTACACTGAACTCAAACTAGTTTTAATCGAATTGTGATATTCTAGTCGTTATACTGTCCTTCGCTGGCAGGTTTTTAACTAAGTATACATATGTTTATTCTGAGTACATAACTTTTTGTCGTCACAATATGGCTGTAATATTGCCGATGTGACGTTAAATATTAACTCACTCACTCACTGTAAGTCGCCATGCACTCTCAATCCTAATAATCTCGCGTATATTACATCACTCACACACTCACACACACACACACACACACATATCTCTCCACGGTTAAGTCTATTAATTGCATTAGTTCTCATTTAATTATTTGCTTTTTTAAAAGAAAATGAAATTAATTGATAATGTTATATGTTTTTAAAATATATGGGTCGGAATTGATGACAAATTTAGATTGGCTGTGGCAATACCCTTGATGGGAGATGAAATACTATAAAACTATTGTCCTCCTTTGTGGTTATATAAGCCCGCATCATTCACAGAATATTCTATTCTATCGCATCTTTTTACGCGCAGTATGTTTATGTAGTTTTTGATATGTGGCTAACACTGTCTACAATTGCTAGCAGCTGCAGGGATGGTATAAATCCTTCTTGTCATCCGTGCAGGAAGCAGATGTATTGTTAGTCCCAACAGTCCCTGGTATGGTGGATCGCCTCCGTGGTGTAGTGGTTAGAGCGTCCGCCTGGAGAGCGGAAGGTCGCGGGTTCGATCCCCGACCGCGTCGTACCAAAAGACGTTAAAATATGGTACTTGTTGGTCCCTGCCTGGGGTTCGGCATTAATCGGTACAACAAGGACTGGTCGGCTCGGAGTCAGTATAATGTGTCTGAGTGGGGGTATTCATGCTTCACTGCGGCATGGTATCTCAGTGGGCTAGCACTATAAAACCAGCTTAAGTCTTGGCTAGTTCAAGCAGCATATGAGCGAAATATTCTCAAGCACGAAGTTAAACCCAATTTCACCTCACCTCACCTAGTATGGTGGCCCAACTTTGGTTGCTGGCGATCTCTTGCACCTTTTTATATCGTTTTGTTGGTGAATAATGTTCTCTCTCAGACAATTCTGTTTGTGTAACAATTATCTCTATTTTGTAAACATCCTCCACACTTTGTACACGAACCTTATCATTTGTGTAAACATAAATCAAATTCCTGTACAAACTCTAACTCATGTATATATAAGCCTTACTTGCAGTATTGTACATCACTTGCTTAAAGGGGAAGTGTACACGAAAATTATCCTTTTTGTCTTGCATATTTTCATCATAAAAAGTGTTTATCAAGTAGTTTTATATCCAAACCCGTATATATATCAGAAGTAACTACTTTATTTCTTGTGTTATATCAATGCATATTTTCAACATTTACCGAGAGTTCTATGGCCACAATAAACACAATGGCTCTTGTCCCTTGGAAATGACGCCATTGGTGCCCAAACGATAAACGAATGACGTCGTTAGACCTTATTAGACCCATTTCACGTGGTGCAGGTATAGGTGTGGTTCTTGTGTCTCGATGCGCAGGCTACTGTTTTAATCCAGCTGTTGCCTGGTTGTCAGGTTGCTATGTGGTTAGTTCTACACTATGATGACGTTTCAGTTTGAAAAAAACGTATACATTGTACTAAAAGAGTTACAACGTAACCAAATTGCATAACATACTCAACCTGAGTCGGTCGCCTTTCCAACAGTATTTTTTTTCACTACAACTAAAACTACATCTAGCTTGCCATCGGTGAATGTACCGGCATTCTACGTTTGTTACTAAAATTCCTATATAAATCGAACGATATGTCCCTAATCTTCCACCTTCACTTTGATATCGATTGTACATATCCAAATACATCACGCAGTTAATGCAATTTGCAGTTTTGAACTCTGTTTGAAATTCGTTTTTCTATATCATCCGCTCTACTGGGAGAATTGAATTTAAAAGAAAAAGACGTATCATTGTGATCAGCGATAGTTTTGTTGTTGTTGTTGTATGATCGAATCACCAATGCTCGTTCTTCAACATTGTCGATGAACCGAGAATCGCTGAGAATGTTTGGGAAAATACGTAAACACAATTAACGTCAAAGTAAATTTTCAGCCATATTACAGAGTGTTTATAAAATTACGTCACATGTATGTCGGTTATGTTTCGTCCTTGCTAACTACTCATAAAATCAATAGCATCATTCAACACCATCTTCCTTACATGAATCCCTGAATTCCTCATACAGTTCAAAATAAACTGACAAATGGACTCTGTCACCAATACGAAGTGTTTCAGTGAAATCTAACGAAATATATAAGATGCCGCGCTGAGAAAGGACCACTCGTTTGAAATGCAAACAAAGCCAATCTCAGATTTTACACTGTGTATCCGTTCGCCTACTTGTTGCATACACTTGCTCATTAGTTTTAGAACATGCATGGGAAAGGTATCGTAGCAAGCGATAGTTACATAAAATACGTGTATTCCAATGATTTTCTAGATTCATCACAACATATTATAGTTTCTGAAAGCATGACGCCATGACCGACGCAAACTCACGCAAACTCACGCACAACGATGACGGTTCTTCTCTTAATTTCTGACTATTTCCCTTGGTCACAATGAAGCAAAAAGAAAATAACAACCAGCAGACTGACAGAATTTTCGGATTACATTTTGTACTTACATGTCACACTTATGCATTAACGTTGATTGAAACAACGAAAATATATCCTTCGAAAACTCAGGCGTACTCGTGTCAGTGAAAGTCGCTTCACGATAGTGATGTCATACGGACGTCAACATTGTTATAGATGTTTGGTATTTTCATTGAGGTGAGGTTATGAATGAAAATACACACGATCAATCCGTCCTGCTGCTTACATTTTCTGTTCTTATGCTTCTGTCGTATTTTCACAAACTTTTTTTCACGTGATTAATTTCAGTATTATATTATCTTTTTATTTGGGACTAGACAAGACACCAGTTTTAAATCAAGTGGCACCAATTACGTCATAATCAAAGGGCGGTAACTCTGGCCTGCTTAGCTCGGCAAACAAGGGCCTCATATTATCTTTTTATTTGGGACTAGACAGGACACCAGTTTAAAATCAAGTGGCACCAATTACGTCATAGTCAAAGGGCGGTAACTCTGGCCTGCTTAGCTCGGCAAATAAAGGCCTCATAGTGGTATAACATTTTAGCACTTATTTTGAGGGTTATACTTACATTGTAAGAAAAATGAGTGCATATTTTCAAACATTGGTATTAACTAATTGAAACAGTTTACTTTGATTCCCATAAGAATAAATGTGATTTATTCGTGTACACTTCCCCTTTAATAACGGTGTCAGCAGCTACACATGTCGCTTACATTGATAATAAAGAAGTTGCATAGCCATAGAACTCTTTCCGTTGTTCATCACACCAACGTCTAAATATCACTAAAAAAAGTTGCCTTCACATCGTAAGAGAAGATCATTTAATCCATCGGCATACTGGTGATTATTAGGCAGCCACACGTCTTCAAGTTTTCACGATCATGATTAGTCTACGTAAATAATCCTAAATGTCTGACACACTGCAAAACAGTCCCATTTACAAATGGCTGGCCCTGCAACACATATCTACATAAATGAAACACATCATACGGAGCCTAAAAGGGGTCTCCCCGCTTACCCAG